TCCTGCCCTCCCCCTCTTTGGCTGAGCTGCAGCCACCCCGGCGTCCTCACGGTCCCTCGCAGCTCCAGGTCCGGTTTCGCCCACTCCAGGCTGCACAGGCTTCTCCCTCTCCCACACCGCCCCCCTTCCTCCCCAGCATCCCCCCACTCGCTCGCCCCAGGGACTCCAAGCCAGGACGCCAGGCCCGGTCTCCATGCCTCTTCCTTGGGGACACGGCCGGGCTGGGCTGGCCCGCCCCAGGGTCTCGACCCCCCCGTGCTTTCCCACCAGGACACCCATCAGCGCAGGGGACGTGGCTGCAGGCCGGGCCCTGGCATCACTCCGCTTTCCCCGCCGAAGTCGCCAGTGGCTTCCGTGTGGCCGCACCCAGGCGTTCACTCCAAGCACAGCCTGCTCTGCCTCCAGGCCGCAGGCGGCGGGCAGCAGGGCTCCTCGGCTCTCGCCACCGCCCCCGGCGCCAGCTCAGCTCCTGCTCCCGACTCCTCCCCTCTGCTCTGGCCACAAGAGTCCCGGGTGCGGCCCCACCGCCGGCCGCTGCTCCTACTTTGTCCCACAACCCAAACACGTCTCTGCACCACCGGCTCAGATTCCTGTCTGCTGCCTGGACCCAGCCTTGCCCCCCGGGAGACTGAGCCCTGATCGCCTCCTCCCAGCCCAAAGCCCACCCTCACCCGGTGCCTCTGGGGATGTGGATGGCGCCCAGCCCTGCCTCCACAGCCCCTCCCGTCTGCCCTCAGGACCTGTGGGCTCTTCCTGAGGATGCCCGTGTCTCCTCACCTCCCCTGTCACATCACGACGGCCGCAGGGGCCTCTGAAAACAGGACACCCCCTGCCATCTGGCCTCCTGCGGTCTGTCTCCACACAGCAGCCCATGGCCTTCTCCAGGCCGGACCCCAGGCCAGCCACGGCCCCAGTTCCCACGTGGCTTCTCTCCAGACTCCTCCAGCCTTTGGTGAACTGGCCCTGCCCACCCCGAGCCCCCCCCCCAGCTCCCCCTCTTGGTCACACCAGAGCCACTCTGGCTTCTCTACTCTTCTGCGGGCAAAGAAAGCTTGGCCCCCATGAGAGCAGCGCTTTGTGCCTGTCTGGACCACTTTTACCCTGGATGCCTCAATCCTCTGTCTCCTTGAGGTCTCTGTTCAAGCATCACCTCCTGGGGGAGGCCTTCCCTGACTGCTCTCTGTTGATTCGAGCCCCACCCTTACCCTGTCCCCTTGCCTGCTTTTTTGGTCTTCAGAGTGCTTCTTCCTGCCTCACAATGCGTCATCGTCCCTCTGTTGCCTGGTTTTGTCCCTCTGTTGCCTGGTTTTCGGCCTGGCCTTCCTGCTGGAGGAGGCAGGAGATGGCTTGTTGTATGCATTGCCCTATTTCCAGCACTGAGAACAGCACCTGGCACGTGTAGGTACTTGGGAAATGTTTATCAAATGAATGAATGTTGTTCACCACAGTTTACCCATCACCCAGCCCAGAGCCTAATACACAATAGGTGCACAATTTTTTTTTTGAGTTGGAGTCTCACTCCGTCGCCCATGCTGAAGTGTAGTGGCACGCTCATGGCCACCCCAGCGTCAACCTGCTGGGCTCCAGTGATCCTTCAGCTTCAGCTTTCCAAGCAGCCAGAACTACAGGTGCGTGTTACTATGCCTGGTTAGTTTTTTTTTTTTTAACTGTAGAGATGAGGTCTCACCAAGTTACCCGGGCTGGTCTCGAACCTGTGGTCTCAGGCAATCCACTCGCCTCAGCCTCCCAAAGTGCTGGGATGACAGGCTGAGTCACCAAGCCCAGCCCCTAGATGCACAATTTTAAAATGTCAACCAAACAGCAGTCAGAGGGACCCGCTTCAGGGAGGCACTGGCTTTTAGTATATCCAGCACACATTTTGCGTGGCAAAAAGTGTTCCTGAAAACTGTTATAGTAAGTGAAAAAAACGTGTGACTTGCAAAGGGGCTGGCCTACCCTGGGTGCGGGCTGTGAACCCCTGAACTCTAAACTTATCTAAACTCATACATCATTGTCCCTCTGTTGCCTGGTTTTGTCCCTCTGTTGCCTGGTTTTTGGCCTGGCCTTCCTGCTGGAGGAGGCAGGAGATGGTTTGTTGTATGCATTGCCCTATTTCCAGCACTGAGAACAGCACCTGGCATGTGTAGGTACTTGGGAAATGTTTATCAAATGAATAAGGGAATACCTTTGCAGATTGGTAAGTGAAATGAAAACTAAAACCCAAGGACAGTACTTGTGCACACACTGCAGGAAAGCCCCTTGCATGC